ATCTATTGGCTTCATTCTATGTATTATAGTCTTCGAGAAAATCAATGAAATATAAAAACACTGCTTTTTCGAGCATGTTTTAAACTTTGAGCACGAATTACAGCCCAACGGCTAAAACCACAGTAATATATCGATACTTGCTAGATTCTCCAAACATTCAGCTTTCATATGCATCTTTCGGATTAATTCTACCTATTATAGTTTTCGAGAAAATCAATGAAATGTAAAAACACTGCTTTTTCGAGCATTTTTTAAATTTGAACACGAATTACAGCCAAACGGCTAAAACCACAGTAATATATCAATACTTGCTAGATTCCCCAAACATTCAGCTTTCATATGCATCTATTGGCTTCATTCTATCTATTATAGTTTTCGAGAAAATCAATGAAATATTTAAAAAATGATGTAGAAGGCGCGCAATCCGAGACTTCTCTTCTCATCGTCACTCGTTATGCGAAACGTCACTCGTTAAGCGAGTCATTTTGGTTGTTAAGCGAGGTTCCACTATAATAAATTTGTAAAAGAAACGCACTGATTTCTGTACCCATTTACGATTGGTTCAGATTTCGATAAAAGAAACATTCTCAAGAGTTTATCCGTTAACAAACAAAAAATTTTTAGTGATGAGCCACCAATAGAATGTGCACGCCGACCCGATCATCAGAACCAATAGGATTGTTTAAAGCGAAAAGAGCCGGGGATGACCGATCCCTCGTTTAACGTTCAGCGATATGATTTGCAGCTGCAACTGCTGATTCTAATCGCGACGCACAGATACGCAGAAACGTTTTCCTATCGAAATCGCCTAAATTTTTATTACTTTCTTATCTCCATTCCATTCTTTTCGCGTGCCCCAATAAGAATTGTTCATTTCAACAACTGTGATTCGACGCAAACGCATTTCGCTAATATGCATTTAGATTCTCAATTAGACGCATCGTATAGAAAAAAAAAAGTATGATTAATAAACTTACAAAAATCATCATCATTTCTCGTCCGACTCTTCAAGGTGAACGGAATTGAATCTCGAGGATCTACAAAAAAAATAATAATATACAATTAAGTCAAGTTGAAATTTGCAAAATGTCTTTGCAAGTTCGAAAGTCGTTATATGGAATTACCCAAAAAGACCGGTGCCTACGCACACGAAATCCACGTTACCTTGCGCTGCTTTTTTTTTTTTCAAGCGGTTATCCTTGTTTTTCCTCCGCACGGCTATTCTGATGTATTCACGCAAAAATATATCGTGCAAAATTAATCTGAAACAAACAATTATTTAATATGTGTGTAATATATTTTTTTTTGCATCAATATCAACAAAGTATGGATTAATTAACGCAATTATGAAATTAACGTAATAACTAATGTTAAGTTATTGCTAATTAAAAAAATATCAATAATTGTGGACGTTATTGACAGTACTTGTTAGTATTAGGGAAAAAAAATATGATTGTGTTATTGATGTGTGTCGTCCGGTCAGCTGAGACAACGACGTAAGCAAATTAAAGGTTGAAATAATTGCGCTTCGTATTTAGAATTGAAGACGACGAGAGAGAGAGCGTGAGCAAGAAATTATTATTATTATTTTTTTGCAAAGTGCACTCAAACCAGACCTTGGCACCTCTTTTTTAAGTGCACACACGAAGGTAATGATTTCTGGGGCGCACTTTCACCCTGCTCGAACGTCGAGATAATACACCTAAAAGTGGTGAGAGAGAGAAGTTTCGAGGATGAGAGTAATTGCAAGAATCCTAGAGTTCTGATTACACTTTCTTTTCATTCATTCCCATAATAATTCTGCTTTCAATTAGAGTTTGATAATTAATAAGTGCATGTTTTTCTTGCTTTAATTTCAGGCGATAGTAGGACGGCATGCCTGCCATTCGACTCTTTGGAAGGAAATGGTTGGCCGCCTCGGATGACCTCGTAATTCCTGGACTCTTTGAGATTTCCGTCAGAATATTATGGTAAATGCAATATGTTACTATTTAAACTTAAATTTTGCAAAGCGTACTTCTCCTTGTTTCGCAATATTAAATAAAACAGCGACATTTCATTGATTAAAAAAAAACAAACTCCGTCCAATCAGATTACGCAATAATTTAGCATAGCCAGACACGAGATCGCAGAAGAAAATTATTCTTTTAGTGTTCAACCTTGAAAAAGGGAACGATTTAATAAACGCCATTCAAATTGATTCGATTTTTCGTTGCATAAAAGTGAGTAGCGACGGCGACGGCAGCGGCAAACGGAACGTCAATTTATTAATGGAAATTTGATTTCTAAATTGAATCTCGCGAACTTTCCAATTTCGTTATAATCAATACGAATTTTAAAGCAGTTTCGTAACTTATCATTCCAGCAGATCGATACGATTTCGAGAATGGGAATTTTCTCGATTCATAATCGCAACAAGTTATTTCTCGATCATCCTTCGTGATTACGAAAGAAACGTAGAGGTCGATGCCCCAATTAGACTCGAGATTCATACTTAATTAGATCGAATCATCGAGCAATTAATGATTAATCAATTTAAATACATATTTACCAATTTTCTCATCTGCTAACTTCGATTTGATTGATGCATTCAACCTTGACACTTTGACGAGTTTCCTGGTCGTTTCCATCGAGCAGTTGCATTTAGTTTATTTTTTCTTTCGATGCAGAAGTAAAAAGTGCAATTTGTTTATTCGTAATCCGACGTATAAACCTGCAAAGAATAAATTGTCATTATTTAATCAAACGCTGTTAATTGTTATCAAAACTAAGTGCAATTTGCGGTACTTTATAAATACTCTATCAAATTCTAATAACAACTAATTTCCAATTACATTAAATCGAATAACAACGAATAGTTTTTAATCTGTTCATTGTTATGTATGCTACAGTAAAATTGATGGTGAATGTATTTTGATCTGAACATTTCTTCAGGTGAAACGCGGCGTTTGCTAAACACTATCTATTACTGCAGATTGGACAGTTTACGTAAAAGATCTGGCACGATCGTCCAGTTTACATAACGAAAGTCGCACTCGCAAAGTTCTCTTTTCTACAAACCATTTCCAAATTAACAATTATTTCGTTTGCTGAAGTGCGACGCGATTCGTTTATCATACACTTTATAGGAAACGCATCAAAATTGAAATAATGTTATCCAATTTAAAATGAACTATTGTTATTTTTTTGTGTGTGTGAATTGTATGCAATTACATTCAGCATCGATTGCATTATTTAATTTTGTGTATGTGTGTGTGTATATATATAGAAAGTGGATAACGTTAGAAAATTGCCACTTCGTTTCGTATTATAATTAAATTGACCCATTAAATGTAATTTTATCAACGCGACGTCCCACGATGGACATACATTTATCTCTTCATCATCGCGCATGCTGTTTTTCTTTTTGTTTTTTTTTAGGATAATTGTTGTTTGCAACAAAAATGTAATTACTGCTAATGCGAAAAAGCATACCTTGTTTTTCATTTTTGATAACAGCAAATGATACAAATGTTTTGTCACTCCGCACGAGCACGTTCCAATTAACTAATTGATTTTCCATACCTGCAACGAGTAAATTATAGGAGATTACGGTTTGAAATTAAATTAATATTTAACATGCATGGACATTTTGGTGTAATAGATTAATAGAAGGCTGTGATTGTAAGAAAACATGTTGTGTTCTTGGTATATTAATGTGTCGATTAGATTAACTTGAAAACAAAGTAAGCGCCAAAGCATATCGATTTCTACTATTTTCGTATGTAAATGTAATTGTTTATGGTTTTTTGTTTGATACTGATACAAGATAAATTGTGTTGTTTGAAATAATTTCCATGTAGTAATTAGATGTTTGCATTGTAGATTATCATATTTCAACGGTTGTTGTTTTTGTTGTACGTTTCAGGTTGGTGTTGATTGCGATAGTGTACACGAAATATTACGAGTTCACGTGGGAGTGCGAGAAGGGAGGAGAGTATGTGAGGACGTACATAATAGGGATGCTGGTCCTTCTCAGTTTAGTGATAGTTGTACTCGTCGGTCTGGTGAACAGGAGCGCTCAGGGTTCGATCACGGAGACGAACGCTCGTCGGCTCGTCGCGCCCATCCTCATCCTCAAACTGTTCCTCATCATTCCGGAATGCGTGATAAACGCGTTCGGCACCATGTGGGCGTTCTGCGGCGAAGTCGTCGTCTGCCCCTACGAGGGTCACTTCTCGAGGACCGTCATCGAAGGTTGTTATTAATCTCAACTCGAATCTAGAAAAAAAAAAACTAATTAATATATGTTTGTAGCTCTGGTGATATTCAATTGGGCGCTATTCGGATTGGCCATCTTCGGGTTGGCGTTGATCTTCGATCCTCTGGGGTCGAGGCGGTATCAGGACGTGCACGAGACGCCAAGTGCAGGGGAATCTTTTCGACACAGGAAAGTCACCTCGCTGTGGCAGAAGAGGTTCCGTTGGTTGTTCTGCTGGGTGCGAAGCGACGAACACGGCCCCGAGGCCTTCCAGCAGATCGCCTCTCTGTTGAGCGCCCTCTTCAGAAGCACGGATCTGGTTCCATCCGACATCCTCGCTGGTTGCGTCCTCCTCAGGGTCAAACAGAAGAAAGAGACGCGCGAGATGAGACGCATCCAGATGCTCTCCGACGACGAACCTAAATATGCGACAGGTAAAACTTTATTTATAATTTACTTACAATTAGTACATGGATTCGCAACGGTGGTGTTGTGGGGGAGCCACTTGTTGATTTTATATGATTCGTTTACTTCCTATATTACTTCCTATATTACTTCCGAAATAAAGACCAAGCGCGTTTTTAAAACTTGAAAAACTTTAACAGAATAACGTTACAATACTCACCAATGTTTTATTTGTTCCTTAATTGTGCGAATTGCAGCTGCAATTGCGAGAATTCAACACACGACTTAAGCGTCACTTTTTATGATCGATGCGTTTTTCTTTTATTTTCCATGCAACGCAACCTTTAATTGTTTCGTTTTATTGGTGAAAAAACGCAACCAAACATACCTCATTTTGAAAACATTACGTAATACAGTGGTTTCCAAACTTGAAATTACTACGCCTCCCTCAAAAGTATGTAATCATTTGGCGCCCCCCTTTCATAAAATCGATGAAATGTAAAAACACTGCTTCAAAATTTAAAAAATGCTCGAAAAA